AAGTCAAATAAATTTAAATCTGTCCGGATTAGATAAAAGAATATACGAAACAAAATTATCTATGTCGTATAGGGTTTTAAGATATTTTAAGATATGCTTATTAAAGAGACGGATTTCTTATCCAAATACATTATTAACTGCTATGAGTATGACATTGCAATTTTCTCTTTTAAAACCAGAACCCCAGCAAAATCCAACATCCAAGAGCACTGTTGAGGACCAAACAATGCGAAACTTGATACATTGAGAAAAAAGTCTTGCTGTCCACTATACATCAACGATAAGGAACCATTGACCTCCACTTAAGTCAGACTTTATACTAACCTATAGAGTAGACTGACATTGTACTAAGAGACTTCAATGTAAAACAAGACAGCTACGAAGACTTTTAGAGAATAGGAAAACTCAATTATCCCCATCCATGGTATTGCTACGACCATTTTGGATAAACGGTGTGGGAACGTGGGATTCCTCCAACCAATCAAATCGTAATCAAAAGGCCTAATTCAAATCAAAGCTCCTTGCTATATAAACCTCACCCCACCTGAACATTCCTTTTGTCAACGAATTGGTAAGATTCTGCTTCAAAAAGTTTCCACACCAAGCTAATCCATTCTAATACTACTGTACAAGCCGCTTTATCGCTGACTTTCCGATTCTATTATCACCTGTCCGGACCACATTACAATTTTATCTTCTAATCCGAATCCTATCCAAGCAACCTCCAAAAACACATTTATTATATCAAAGAGTGGCACAAAAAGTAGAGACAAGACTGAATGAAGAAACATGTAAAGCTTACTGTTATTACTTACATTTACCACTGGCGTGGAATCCCAGAACTTAAGAGACAACACTACGAAGACTGAAATATTTTTTGACCTTCAAAGCTCAACAAACTGCGATCACTTTGGATATACGGAGTCAAACTGTGAGGAATTCACGTCCAAGTCAAATCTAAGCAAATTATCAATGACCTCAATACTCTTTGTGTCAACGAACTGATCCAATCCCGCTTCCAAAAGTTTCACAAGCTTTCGATTCTTCCTAACCCTACAGCCAAAGTTTTATCTTCACTTTCTCATTCTGGGATCCTCCAGGTCGTCTTAGACGAGATGGCACATGTACATTGAAAAGACCCGCGTTAAAATACAACTGCAATAATGAACTGCTTTTCTGCGTTCATTTTGGACATACAGAGAAGAAGTGTGGGGCCCAGGCCTTTGAAGTAAAGATAAATCTTTATTACATCAAAGACTGGTAAAAAAAGTAGAGACAAGACTGAATGAAGGGAACATGTAAAGCAGTCTTGCTCTCTACTGTTCATTTAAAGCAAGAAGTTAGCGACTTCCACTCAAGTCACTTAGGACAATTCCTGGACAACATCTTGGATAACTATGAAGACTTCTATTACTGAAATATATTTTGACCGTCAAAACTCAACCAACTGCGACCACTTTGGACATACGGAGTCGAACAGTGAGTTTCCGCTAAGCCATCCAATATCCATCATATCCGTCACATCTAAGCAAATGATCAACAATGACCTCAATACTCCTTGTGTCAACGAACTGATCCAATCCCGCTTCCAAATGTTTACAAGCTTTCGATCTTTCCTAACCCTACTGCCAAAGTTTTATCTTCACTTTCTCATTCTGGGATCCTCCAGGTCGCCTTGCGATGGCACATTTACATGGAAAAACCGATCTTTTCCTCCAATATACAACAGCAAACTACTTTCCTGCGTTCATTTTGGACATACGGAGAGGAAGTTGGGGCCCTGGCCATCCAAGTATCAAAGTCCTACACAAATTTTTAAAGCTTTTTACTATATCATTAAGCTCACTATTCTTAACGATCTCAACATTCCATTGATCACCTATTTAAAAGTTCCACACCAAGCTTTTGATTCATTTTAACCTTACTCCCCAAGTCTTATCTTCACTTTCCCATCCTGGGAACCCTCTTACTCGCCTTAAACGTCAATGGAATCAACTCCTCCTCTTAATCCCTGTTGAGTGCCGGCATTGGTTGGTTTGCGCATAGAGCGCAATACAAGCCATAGTGGCAAGTTGTGACAGGAAGTATTGCTAACTTTGGTTCCTTAAAATGAAGTAGCATAAAAGATAAAAACATCTAAATAACGCAGATAAATAACATTCCGATTCCATTATCACCTGTACGGATGACACTACAATTTTATCTTCTAATCCGAATCCTATCCAAGCAACCTTCAAGAACACCTTTATTACATCAAATACTGGTACAAAAAGTAGAGACAAGACTGAATGAAGGAAACATGTAAAACAGTCTTGCACTCTACTGTACATTTGCAACAAAAAATTAGCTACTTCCAATCAAGTCACTTAGGACAATACTTAGACAACAACTTGGACAACTAGGAAGATTTCTAGGACTGAAATATATTTTGAACCGTCAAAACTCAACCAACTGCGACCACCTTGGATATACGGAGTCGAACTGTGAGGAATATCCATCAATCCAAGTCACATCTAAACAAATTATCAACAATGACTTCAACACTCCTTGTGTCAACGATTTGGTCCAATCCCACTTCCAAAAGATTCACAAGCTTTCGATCCTTCCTAACCCTACTGCTAAAGCCTTATCTTCACGTTCTCATTCCTGGATCCTCCAGGTGGCACATATACATTGAAAAAACCTGTCTTTCTCTCATATACAACAGCAACAAAGAACTACTTTTCTGCGTTCATTTTGGGCATACGGGGTGGAGGTGAGGGGCCCAGGCCATCCAAGTATCAAAGTCCTTAGGCAAATTTTTAAAACACCTTACTAGATCAATAAGTTCACTATTCTTAACAATCTGAACATTTTGAACACCTATCTAATAGTTCCACACCAAGATTTTGATTCATTTTAACCCTGCTTCCCCCAAGTCTTATCTTCATTTTCCCATCCTGGCAACCCTCTAATTCGCTTTAAACGTCAATGGAGTCAACTCCTCCTCTTAATCCCTATTGAGTGCCGGCATTGGTTGGTTTTGGCATGGGGCGCAATGGTAGCCATAGTGGAAGCTAACTTTGGTTCCGTAAAATGAAGTAGCGAACATGAAAGATTAACGCAGATAAATAACATATCCTGGTCCGCTTCCATTGCAGGTCAGTTATCCCACACAGCTACTCTCCGTGTTATAGTAAGTGGCCGATCTAGCCCACTGACGCTAAAAATGCAATAAAAATATGATTAAACAAAGAGGCAGTGTCAGTGAGTCGGATCGGTAGAGGAGCTCTCAATATGAAGATGATGTCGATGGGTGGCCCAGGGAGGATCTGACTCGTAGAAGAAGAGTCATCCTCATCAAATTAGCCATCAATGAGCCATCCGAGGTTTGACACTCGGACACTTTAGAGTCAGCAGGGGCATGCAGAGAAAGGTTGCTCGGTGTATCCCACCTAATTTTGGCATGCAATTCCCATATAGAAAGCGCTTAGTAATGCCACCCCATATGAGAATTATCCTTGAACATTTCATCGAATGTTTGGGCTCCCTATTCCGATTTTTGGAGGAAACAGTGTACTGATTTGTATCCCCAGCGGGCGTTGAGAGTGAACGTATTTATTAGCTTGAATTTGAATTATGAGAAGGCCGAATTATGCAGATTTGAGCTTATATAAATCATTAGAAATTGATTCGATTTGTCAACGATATGAAGATGATTAAATAGTAAATTTATGAAAAGTGATTTCTGAAGCATTTTGAAAAATAAACTGTTTAGGCATTTCACTGTCAGTGTATAACATAAAATTATTTTTTCTTGGTTTAATCAATCCAATTCTCCTTCATCTGTTTCAATTCTGTTAGCGGTTTGTATGTACTACTATTAACTTCACTAGTTTTCGTGGTCCGCTTGACCAATTGATACCTTTTAATTAATTAATGTTTTTAGTTGAGATAAAAAACTTGAAAAATGGCAAAAAGGAGGGAAAATTATCATATCATAACTTTTCCATATTGGGAACCCTCCAGGTCGCCATAGACAACGATGGCCTCCAGTCCGTGTTTTTTCCATCCTAATCCTACTGCACAAGCCCTCAAATCTGACTTCGCATTTTCAGGGAGGAAAACGAGCAAATTAAAAAAAGAAAACCACGGTTGAAGTCGTAAATTCAAAAGTCTTTCAGGAAAGTTCAGAAAATAATCGTTAATAAGGAGAATCTGTTTTTGAAATGAGAGATGCGGTTTTTTTAATGTACATGCAGTTGTGATAGATAATTCCTGGGGCTTTGCTGAGAAAATCGAACCCCTTTGTAATTACTAATTATTACCGTGAGCCGATTCTCAACTTAAACACTGGATACGCCGTTGGAAATACTTCATTAAAGCAATTGATCTTGGAGATAATCCCGTCTGGTATGATCTATCTCCAGGGTAAATTCCAGATTAGTCACTCCCATCCTTATAAGTCATTGTTCTCTTAAGAGATTCCGGACATAATCATTTTTCTCCAGGCTAAACAATGCAAGAAACGTCAAACGCGCTTTTCAGATTATGTTAAATATATCTCGTGTGCGTTACAATCCGATGGAATTTTTTCGAGTGTTTTTATTGCATTTTAATCTTTTGAAAACAACACAATTTTTGGTGTATTTGTTTGTCTTATCTTGTTATTTAATTTTCTTTTTCTTCTGTTTTCTTTTTGAAATTGTGAAAACTTTGGAGTTTTAAAATTTAATTTAGATTAATCATTAAATTGTTTTTGATATACAAAATAAACAATTCTGCTACAAAAACTTTCGAAAGCACGGAAATAGACAACGGGACCGTTTTGGCCAAGTTCGCCAACCCCGTGAAAAATTGGTCAAATAGGCTTTTCGCCCGCTTGGAAATTGGGCCAGGTTTTCGGGGCGGTTGCCGCCCCCGGCCGGGTGAAAGGACTCCCCACAGGTCGAAGGTCGTTGCCCCCGAGCCTATCGATCCGTCGCGCCCCACCCCCGCCCCCGCTCTGACGTTATACTTACATCGTCACAACGCTGCTCTGACGGGCCGCCTCCGTCCATTGCGCTTCCCCCTGCAAAGAAAAGTCAAAAATGATTAATTTAAAAATCTCAAAATTGCTTTTATAACATAGGAATAAAATAATTGTCATATTGAACATATGGCCATATCTGGACCGATCATACAGGGTGCTCGACTACTTTTACTTTGCCAGTAGATTCTACATTCAAAATCGAACCAAAAAGTCCTTATTGACTATGGTCCGAATCTCAACAGTTTCGGAGTTATGTCACTTTTTCTGATTTTTTTAAAATTTCACAACCTAGCTTCAAATAGACAATGATAACTCCAAAACTCAAAGGTTTTGGACAAACCCGTTGATACCATTGAAAAGTACGTTAAATTTCCCTTAATATGTGATCAATACTAAACTTGTAAACTTAGTGAAATAAGCGTTTTAGTAGCGAGAACTTTGAAAAAAAATTTTTTTTTCAAAGTTGAAAAACTTACTATGGTAATTCTAAACTACTATTTCCAAACCTAGAGACCAACAAATTTCAGAAAACGTACTCCATTTAATATCCTTTTTAGTGGTGCAATTGCTTTTTAATTACTTTTTTTCAAAGATGGAGAAATTGATGAAGGAAAAGAAAAAACCGCTGAAGGCTGTAAGGTGAAAAGGTTAATAATAATAAAAATTTCCTTAAGTTTTTTAAGTCTTTTTTCCATCAATTTCTTCATCTTTGAAAAAAGTAATTAAAAAAAGCAATTGCACCACTAAAAAGGTTATTAAATGGAGTACGTTTTCTGAAATTTGCTGGTCTCTAGGTTTGGAAATAGTAGTTTAGAATCACCTTAGTAAGTTTTTCAACGTTGAAAAATATTTTTTTTTTTTTAAGTTTTCGCTACTAAAACGCTTATTTCACTAAGATTTACAAGTTTAATATAGATCACATCTTATAGGAAATTTAACGTACTTTTCAATAGTTTCAACGGGTTTGCCCGAAACATTTTAGTTTTGGAGTTATTATTGTTTATTTGAAGCAAGGTCGTGAAATCTTAAAAAATCAGAAAAAGTGAAATAACTCCGAACCTGATGAGATTCGGACTTTTTAATTAAGACTTTTTGGTTCCATTTTAAATGTAGAATCTACATCTGTTCTAATCTGGCAAAGTTTGTAACTGGAGTAGCCGAACCCTGTATAAGTAAACGTTAGGTCAAAGCCATGGCTGTGGATACATTAAAAAAAATTAACTTTATACTCAGAAAAATACAAGAGCAATCTGGAACACGTAAGTTTCTAGTGTGCCTGTCATCATTGGGTTTGTTTATCAGACGCATTTTGCCTTCTCATCATCTTCAGTGGTGTATTTCGATAAATGTTCGACGTATATAAGGATTACATGCATCGAAATAGTACACAAAATCATTGATTGCTTAAAAGCAGAACGGATTTGACAGACCAAAATCGGAAATTGCCAAACTATTGTATACCATACCGCTGACAACATGGAGTACTGTCACTTGTTGATACTTGTTGATACTTGTTTAAATTTCCTCTCATGGGCTTCAGTTAATGATGATGATGAGGAGACTAGAAAGTGGACGTTTGGCCGTTCTTTCAAGAAGTATTAGGTCATTGCTGCAATTCTTTTACCCGGGTCTTCTAGGTGAAGTTACATTACTTCAATGAGCAGTTTCTTCGCATTATTGCTTAACCTACAAATGGGAACTGTACCCAACTAATACAAATATAGTGATATGTTAGCCAGATATTGGCGAGGATCCTTTAATAATAAGTACTACACTAAGAGGCAAAAAAGTGCCATGGTGATGGATGATGCTTTCGTTCCCTATGCACAACACCCTTTTGACTTATTGTGTTTCTAGTTCCTTAGTTCAGTTATTCGACGATCCTTCTCTCTAGAAGTACTAGGTAGACTGCCGTTGCTACAATTCCCTTCCCTGGGTTTTCTTTGTATCCAAAGTTATGACCCCACTAACCATGCTTCCCATTCAAAGATGATATGAGTGGCTGTTTCTTCCTCTTATTGTTTAACCTACAAATGAGAACTGTACCCAACTGCTACAAATATAGTGGTGTGTTGGCCAGATTTGGCTAAGGTTCTTTAATAACGAATTTAATAAACCGAGAGACATAAAAAGTAGCCACCCTTTATATTTTAAATTAGACAATCCGCTGTACTGATGATGATTTTGTTCCTCAGGCACAGAAGCCTTCTGGCTTATTGTATGTTCCTAGTTCTTTGGTCCAGTTAATCGACGATCCTTCTCTGAAGAAATATTAGGTTATTGACTGTCGTTGCTACAATTCCTTTCCTTGGGTTTTCTTTGTATCTAAGGTTACGGATGAAGATGATATGGGTGGTTTTCTTCCTCCTAGCAACTGGGTCATCTCGAATCCATATTATGTAAATGTTTTCTCAAATGCCAGTGACCGGTACAAAATCCTATGACTTGAGTTTAGCCTTCTCTAAGTCAAGCAGTGAGTTTGTAAATCTTCGTGAGAGTTGTTTTAACGTAAACTTACTATTTTTGTGGAGCCTAATTGAACTTTTTCTCGCTTCTCCTTGCATCAGTATTTCCAATGGAGGTAGGTTTAGCGGTTTATTGAGTGGATGGACTCATTTTGATCTGGGCGACTGATCCAGAAATTTGATCTGTGTCGGTCAGTTCAACTAGGATAAGTTTATTGGATTCAAGATTTATAAAACTAAACATCAATATTGTTTATAGTTTTTAAATGTATCGAGGTTCTTGGCTGAGTGGCTAAGGCTATTCATATCTGCAGCACTGATATGGGTTCAAATCCCGGAATATCCCACGGCTTTTTCATTGATTTGCAATATGAAAAAAAGTATTTTAATGTGGTTTTGATCATCTACCCCACTCAAACGGTAGTTGAACGAATCTGCAGGAATTATTTACTTAAAATGTATTTTTTTATAACTTTTTAAAATATGTGAAAGTCATGAGGACGTTCCCGAAGCGCAGACAAGTGCAGTAGGTGGCCAAGGGAGTATATTGTCCTTTAAGTACGTACTTAGCATAATCTCCGTGGCTGTACTTTACTTATATTTTAAATTTAAATAAGTTATTACGATATGCTTTTGAATTCGTACAAATAGTTCAATCAATTGCCATTTCTATAATTTAACGATAGCTTGACTTCATCCATTATGAATAGGGTTATAACTTCGTCCCTTGCTCAAAGTCGCCGTCAAATCACGATTGTTTTTATTCCAACCGTATATTGGCACGGAGGACTTAAAATCCCATAAAACCGATACTCCATCTAGTATTATTATGAGAAAAAGTCCGTCACTGGCATTTGAGGGGGTGGCAGAGCGTTCACCCCGAGTTCGCTCGCACTCCGCCCATAATAAAAAAAGTCTGATTCAACAAATTTTCTCAATGTTTTATAAATATTGTTATCAAGCTGTTGACTATGAATCATGCTGCGCATGTAGTTTGTTCATCGGCTCTTTATTCTTATTTTGCCCGGCTTTTTTATCTTAAAGGTGAGCAATATCAAATCGTAAGAATTCTATGCCATTGAATTCTTTATCTAAACTCATTAATGGTCTAACAATGAAGTTTTTTATTAGCTGTTGTATTGCTCTATTTTAAAAACGTTTCTCTTGTAGTTTCTGAAATTGAATTATAATCTTAGTTTATTATCTTTCCGATTATCTAGCTTGAATCATATGTAAAATTTAATGACATTTTTAGTTGTTATGTATATTATTGTTTATAATATAATTAATTTATTCAGTAAATCAACAGGCTGCACGGTTTTTGTTAATCAAGTGACCTGGGATCAAAAATAATTTATTTTCAGAAAGCCCAAAAAACCTTGTTTGACTGTGTTATGGAGAAAGTGCTTAATTAAGTCAGAACGATGACCTTCAGGAATTTACAAGCAGTTGTTTCTGAGTGATGACCAGTGAAAGTCTGGATTGACTGGAGGTCTGACCCTCCGTCCTCAGCCCATAGAACAAAAATCCCAGGTCAAACTTTCTATATTATCGCTCTTATACTTCAATATATGTTCAATATTTATTTTTTTATTTAACTGATGTTGTATTGGATCTTCTTGATTAAAGAGCATCACTAATTGGTTTCACCAAGCTTTCGGCGAATGTCCCGCCATCTTCAGGGCCTAATTTATTAAAAACAAAATTTACATGAACAGAGTTACATAACAAATCTTATATAAATATAAGATATAATTATATAAGATAATATAATTTTTTTTTAAAGTGAAGGTGAAAATGAATCTATATATTAAAAACAAAAAAAGACTTGCTTAAAGTCTAGTGACGCTCATCGGTCCATCCTTTGTTTCTTTTTTTTCATAAGTTAACACTTTTTTTGTTTTTAATATATAGATTCATTTTCACCTTCACTTAAAAAAGAAAAAGAAAAAAAAGTGCAATAAATTTAATTTTTTTTTTTAATAAGTGAAGGTGAAAATGAATCTATATATTAAAAACAAAAAAAGTGTTAACTTATGAAAAATAAGAAACCAAAGGATGGACCGATGAGTGTCACTAGACTTTAAGCAAGTCTTTTTTTGTTTTTAATATATAGATTCATTTTCACCTTCACTTAAAAAAAACAACAACAAACATGTGCAATAAATTTAATTTTCCTAACATCTGGGTAAAGTACTTAATTGTATTTTGTAATGTATTTATATAAGATTTGTTATGTAACTCTGTTCATGTAAATTTTATTTTTAACAAATGAGGCCCTGAAGATGGCGGAACATTCGCCGAAGGCTTGGTGAAACCCAGTTAGTGATGTTTTTAATTCACCTGTAAAATGACCTCAAGAAGATCCAATACAACATCAGTTTAAACTACGTAGGTCGATCAACGTCAACTAGAATTTTTTTATTTAAGTTCAATATTTTATTACAATCTGCTTTATTTGGTTGTAATTTGTAAATTGTTAATATATAGATATATTTACAATTATTTACATATTTACATTGATGGGAGCAAATATTCAATATTATTCTCCCATTTTACTTCACTGTCTATGGC